CACAAGGAGCGGGGAGCATCGAGGGGCGGAAGCGGGGTTTGGAGCGGACCAGAGGCGGAAGAGGCGGTGGGAGACCTGTCCATGAGCGGCCGGAGGAGTACCTGGACCGACAGGCGTCGGAGGGGTGACATGCGGAGTTTGAGGGGTGACAGCGGAGGACATCGTGGGAAGCAGGGGGGAACTTGAGTGTGGGATAATTGGGAGGAGGGAGTTCGGAGCAGAAGAGAGGGGGAGGGGGGGGACTTATGACTCAGAACATATCAGAAAACAGAGTGACTTAGGAGTGAATCGTGTATTAGCCTAAATAATTGTTAGAGATAGAATAGAGTTAGAGTGTTACCTACCAAAATCAATAAAAGAACAGTTATTTTACCTACCTACAAGACCATCAAGCAAGTTACCCCGGACAACAAATCGGAGTAGGACGTGTTGCGGAGCGGAGAAGTACAATAAATCTCCGAGGGTGCACCTTACTTTCCACAATGTACAGGTTGTGTTTAGAGATGAGAGTGAACAGAGCATTGAGAGACAAGAAGGAGATTGAGCCGCCATAGCCGAGACAATCAACAAGGAAGTCCATGAGGATCTTAGGGTCGATCATGTGGGGGATGACTTGATCATGGAGGAGGTTGAGGATGTTTTTGATGTTGGATTTGGCAAGGTCCTGGCGACTCAAGAAAGCGATCCAGCAGTTGGAGAAGGCCTTCTGATGGGCTCGGAGCAAGAGCAATGGGTGCTGTTACCTCTTGCCCAATCCGCGGGGCTCCTGGGCAAGCTCAAGCGGCTCTGGCCCCAAGGCTTCCGAGTTGTTAGGGTCGTCAAAAATCCCTGTGTTCCCGTCGGCTGTCTTCTGAGTCTTCTTCTTTTGGCCCCCAGGGACCTCCTTTCCCCCTCAAATCCACTTCCACATTGGCATGCTTCCTGCACTTGTCTCTTTGGGCTTCCCCGTCCAGAATTGGTCGAGCTCCTCCTTGCGTGTCGGCATCGTCGTCAGCGACTCTAAATACATTAGTAGGTTCTGTTTTAATCCTTTGTTTTGGTCTCCATTGGAATTATCTAGTCACTGTTAGAATTCAAGCCCGCATAACTGCGCAGTCCAAAAACTCGCAGCTATGCTGACACTCGCAATTCTCAACTTCATCAAATCTCCGAAACCTAACATCCAATCCGACAAAAACTCCGCCAATCGCCGCACGAACTGGTCTCTTTTTCTTCACACGCATAATCAATTCTCACAAGTGAAGAAAAAGAGACTAGTAAGTTAATCACATCTCCGAACAAAAACTCTCCGATCAAATCACCAAGAACAAAACACTGATTTCAATTTTCTCTCTCTTTTTCTGTTTCTCCAAATTAAAAATCATGTCTAGATTAAAAATCAAATACCTCTTTGCGTGTCCTTCACCCATTTCTATTTTTAACTCGCTCGTGTTGCTCGCTCGTCGTGCAGGTATGCACTCCTATCTTTTTCATTATTTCCAAATCATCGTATCTAATTTTTGTTTTCATCTATTTCATAATCTTTCTCAAACTCTCAGGTGTGTGGTGTTATCAGGTGTCGTCGTTGTTAAGTGGAACAACTCGACTCATTCAATTCTTTTTCATCAGGTTAGATACAATCAAAATGTTTCTCATTTATTTTTCTTATATTTTTGTTTCATCATTATTTCTACACACGCGTAATCAATTCTCACAAGTGAAGAAAAAGAGACTAATTAAAAATCAAATACCTCTTTGCGTGTCCTTCACCCATTTCTATTTTTAACTCGCTCGTGTTGCTCGCTCGTCGTGCAGGTGTGTGGTGTTATCAGGTGTCGTCGTTGTTAAGTGGAACAACTCAACTCATTCAATTCTTTTTCATCAGGTGGATCTTGTCATTACGACTTGGTGTGATTATTACAGTCACTGTTTTTTTGGCTTTCTTCTTCTTACGGCCTTTACTCAGATTTGGGAGATTTGATTTCTGTCAGGCAAGAGAGGGATGGTGGCTTCTTCTGAACAAGCGCTGAGGTGGTTTGAGAAGTCTTGAGTGGAAACACGTACAAGATGGGTGCTGGTTGCTTGAGATGATTGGTGGTATACTGTACAAGGTGTGTGCTGGTTGGTCGAGATGATCATAGACTGCTTGCTGTTGTTTCGAGGGGGCTAGTGTTGTTGCATGTTCAACTTTGATTTGGACGCGCGGCATCTGAATCTGGTGGGAAACGTCAGGTGATGCTGCGGCCTGCAGCAATAGCTATTTGTCCGTAGTGAAATCTGATATAGCCAACTTGGTAGGGACTGTGGTATTGTATCATACTGATGTAGGCAGGTTATGGTTTCAAGCCCAGTATGGATGCAATTTTTTAGGGTTTGCCCTGCCAGGAAACCACCCAATGGATGGTTTGTTCCAAAACGTCTGATTCAAGGTTTTGAGAGTGCCATCCATAGGATGGTCCTCGCAGAGCCACGGAAAACTGGCTGGACAACCATCCAGCGCACCAACCAAAAGTCGTCCGGACCAACCTGTGGTGTATGTTCCCGTTAATCTGCAGTACATTGGAGGACTTCTAGTGCAAACTGGAGCCCTCACAGAAGTCGATCTAGACTCGAAAACTCTAGATTCTCGCAGGGGAATTTGGATTTTGAGGCTCTAGATTGGTTCTGGGGGACCTGCAGATTCCGGCGGGAAGTCCTCCATTAAATCCAGAAAAAAAGATAAAGTTCCTGATGCAAATTATTAATTCAACAGCCCAAAATTATCACCATTCTGGCCTTTGTATATATCCAATACAAAGAATGTCAATACTGAAATCTGAAACTTTCTTTTGTTGCCTCAGAGCTTCTCTCTTTTTATACACTAGGGAACTCGCGGCTCCGCCGCGCCCATCTCACTAACCAGGCAATTTAGCCGCCTCTGTTCACCGCCCCTATTTCCTTTCTCTAAACTCACAACATCACTCGAAACAAAAACAAATACTGAACCCGGTCTACTCTGATCACTCTTCCTGCACTACCTCCCAAATACGGATCAGGTATTAAAACAGACAATCAACCGGACAATGTGTCAGATCCACACCTATCTCCTAATCCGCTTCGAGACTATTACATTTCTGCCGGCGGGACTCGGTTCCAGTCGCTTTACTTATAAACGTTTTTTTTTCCCACTGCTAGTATGTTCCTCACTCTCACAACACACTTCCTTTACATATTCCATCACTTCGCAGTATTTATTCTTTATTCAGAAAACATCAGCTCCGGGAATGGGCCAGAACTTTTAGATCTATTGTAGGATTGGACGGGTTAAGGAAAGGAGGTGAAATGGGATTAGCAAAGGGGAATTGGAAGACGGATAAAGAAGAAAGCAGGTGTAAGTTGATTAGGAAGAGGAAATTGCAAATTGGAATAGGTGATGGATTGTGCGCGATTCAGAGGTGAAAGGGGAAAAAGGGAATCAGATAAGGAGAAGATGAGTCAAGGATGTTGGCTGCAAAAGGTTGTTGAAAAAAGATGCCGAAGAACGGAAAAAGAGATGTAAAGAATTTTGAGGTGGAGTTGAAGAGTTGAAAGGGACCGGAAAATTTGAACAGGGGGACTGGTCGTTCGTTGCAGTAGAGCAGTGCGGGGCTGGTATCTGCTTCAGGAAGTTTATTGATGGGCGGGAATAGAAATAGGGGCTGGTGGCGGTGGTAATGAGATGTGGAGGGCCCGGGAGGGAGTCCGGATGCGGATTGATGAGGGAGAGGAACGTGAGGTGCTAGAGTATAAAAGGAGTGGGACTGGGGGATGATTTTGGATCAGGAGTTTGAATCAGGCCAGGCTGTGTGTAGGGTATTGAACCATTACCATTCGTCCCTACACTACGCCAGGTCATTGAGACATTATTATACTGCGGAAGGGTACTGGGGGACAGGGCCAAGAATAAGAACCAGGCAGAAATGCTGCCCGTCGGAAGTAGGTGTTGACGAAATTATCTGTGTTTAATTGTACTTTTTTTTCACAAACCCAAAACTCATTCATTTGTATTCATCTTATAGGCATTTTGCCATAAACTCAGAGAGACAAATTATGTATCTAGTTATAGGCCTTATTCCATGAGAATAAACCTGTGACACATTGCATGTTGTTCTAGAATTTTATGGACCAATCAGATCACATCTTGGAAAAAACAACCGTACCAACTGGGATGAGCGGCTGGAGATGTGAATTCTTGGTATCTTGGTCTGAGAAGAGAGCCTAAGCACAAATGTCTCCGTGTGCGGAAACTGAAAAACTGAGCGTGTTTTCTTTGGTCGCGGTTCCTCATATCAAGAAAGATGACATGGTCTTTGACAAGATCAATAATTTGCTATTCAATGTTTTTTTTCTTCAATCTCTAAAGCATCATTGTCTTGAAATTGACAGATTTGTACTCTAGGCAGGATCCTAATTGACACGATCACTTCATTTTTACACAAGATAAAATCCTACATCAAGATTCCTGTGCGTTACAAAGCCTCGTGAAAACTTCCCGCTATGTGCAGCAGCAATGCGATGAAAATATGGGCCGGAAGAGACCTCCAAGAAACACGCCGATGCAAACAAGTGGCTTGAGTTGTTTGACCGCTACCTTTATCTGTAAGCGCATACATCAGCAACGATGCCATGGCACACTCAGCCGAGGGGAAGATCATTGGATCTGGATGATGACAACGCGCGTTTTGGACCTAAAAGCCAACCCACAAACCGTGACTCCGTGAGTTGCCTGGGGTGATGGCCGATCCCGACTATCCATTCTCCACAATTCCAGAATGCGTATGTAATTTGCAGGGCTTGAAACTCTCCTAGAAAACTTGATTTGTCTTATGGCAACTGATAATGGCTTCATATTGCGATAATACGTGAATCTACCAATCAATCGGATAGACCTTTCTACCTTCTCATGTTTCCAATAGTTCCATTTCTCAACCCAGCCATTCAAAATCAACACAATCAATCACGGTTGAAAATTCGACCTATCAGAATTTTTGTTATTAATAACAATGCAGATATCTACCTGGATTTTATTTTCCATCATCAACTTGGACACCAGCGTGATCAATGGCGAACTCCCTTTCAAATGCAAAGAAATGTATTTTGAAGTATGCACCAGACACGCCACCCCGCAAGATAAAGCTCAATTAGTTAGAGGGAAAGACCAGCCGTCGTGCATGGGTAAGTAATCTACCTCATGTGCTCAAGTATAATGCGGTTTCTGATTTGGACCAAATGTTAATTCAATATCCTCTTTTTGACGAACAATTGCTCAGCGATGGTGGCCCCACCATCGAAGGAAAAGAAGGATTTCTATAACTGTGTTGGTGAGATGATTGCTGGCCTAAGTTCTGAGAGAGCAAACTGCTGTTATGGTAACAAAAACGATCGCGAATATAAGGGGGTGAGTTTTTAAATCGGATGCCAGATGAGAGCTAAGATATGCCCATGACAGCTGATTTTCATCTATCCCTGGTCATCTTTTTTCTAGTTCTTTCACCTTATGGAGGAAGATATGCGTGCCTCAGACTGTAAAGCACAGTATTAGGCTCCTTTTGGCATTCAAATCTTAACAATAACATTGAGCAGGTGTTATTAATCGTAGGCCGCTAGATCAAGGCAGGAATCCTACACATGGCCTTCAGGAAAAGATCCATTCTCCACCTATTTATTTACAAATCCCCCAAACCTTTCCAAAATTTAATTGCATGTATATGTATCAACAAATTTTCAAAACCAATCAAATAAAATGGTTCAATATGCTTACAATCACACAAATACACACAAGTAGATATTCTCTTCAGAACTCAAAATTTATATGATAATCTTTTGATCAAGGGGCCTGAAAATAATCACAAAAAACATGTGTTTCAAAAACATGAAGTTGAGTGGACCTGCTTTTCCTCTGAATGTGTTGATTTTAAACTGGACACCCCTAGACCTATGTCTCACCAGCTCATTTTAAACTGCCTACATAGTTTTGTGAAAAGTCAATTCCTGCCACACTTTCTGCTTGTTAAATTGGGGGAGCAGAGTTTCAGTTTGATCAGGTAAAGTATTTGATTTATCAATTGTTTGAGTAGTAATCCCCAGTTCAATTGACACCTCCACATTGAGTCATGAGTTGAATTGACAGTATATTGGCTCATGGCAAATCGGCCAGTGATTACTCTAAGATTGAGAAAAACCCAAGTGAGAAATAATGAATCCAAAATCAACAACAAGAACTAAACTCAAACAAAAGACAAATAACAACATAAAAGAAATGCATATAAGTAACACAAATAGAGACCTAGATCATCTGGAATAAAAACCAAAATGCATAGTAGAGCTCCTTTATAAACCAGTCAACCAATTGGGGCCCTACAAAGTTAAGTTGTGTGAATAGCAGATGATGTTGGTCCTAGAAGATTCAGGACAGGAATCCTTTTTCAAACAATCAAAATTTGATGATCACACAGTCAAACTATATTTATGAATATGGTGAAAGCAGAAATTCTCAGCTGTTGGAAGATTGTGTTGGTTCAATCTAAACCAAATTTTCCTTTGTATCAAAAAATTATCATGGAAGTGCCCCAGCAAGCCCCCCAGAGGGGGGTGTTGAAAAACATATGGCAAATCGGCAAAAATCCCAAAAACCTACTCTTGACAAAGCTTGAAAAAGGTAAGAATTAGTATTATGGACCAAAAAAATACTCTTGAAATCCCTCATTTTAGGTATGTGAAACTGGTCAAGACCAGTAAGATCTGGAATTTGGACCCCAAACCCAGAAGTTTGTTGGGAAACCCCCTCTTTTGGGGTGATTTTTGGCCAGATCATACTCTTGAAAAGCTATGAATTTCCAAAAAAAAAAAGGTATGAATGTTTCTGAAATCCGGACTTTTTCAACAGACCCCTCTTGGGGGGTTTCCCAGGATCCTGAATGATCATCTTCAAAGGTTTGGTCCAATCCCAGAACTATCAAGCTGGAGCATAATTATAAGGCTTCTCTGCATGTCTCAAGAATTCAGTGCAGAGATTAAGATGATGGTGATATATGGTCTTTATACAAGTGTGTTGTATGTATATTCTTTGGATCATAAGCTACCCATGTTTCCTATTTATTTAAAAAAGAAAAGTAGTGCAGTGTCAAGTAGCAGAATTATTCTAACATGCATTGTAGTGCATCAGACTTCTTCCACAACTGCACTCATAAAGCTACATGCACAGGCCACAAAAAAAGGGCCCACTATTCTGGGTTACAGCTAAAAAAGCTGTAGCACAGCTGAGTGGGACTAACAGCACACAAACACTACAGGGGTTTGCACACTGTTTTGAGGGCTTCTACAATAACATTAGTGGGTAGTTTAGCAGCATAGATGTCCAATATCACTGTTTCCACCAACTCTTAGCAGCTTAAATCTCCCAATAAATTACTACTATGTTATAAAGCATTACTGTTATCAACACTCCAAATTTAAAAATAAAAAAGAAGATCACTTGGCTCTTTAATGTATAATCTTTATTCCAATGAAAAAGAAAAAAAATTAAAGAAGGAATTTATATGATTGTAATTTGTATGAGATTTGAAATGGAAGTCAAGTGGATTGCTAGTTCCTAGGTTTAAGATCAGCTCTTCCATTAACCTGGAGTCAGAGCCTTGATTA